AAGTGGTGGAGTCACCATCCCTGGAAGTATTTAAAAGACGTGTAGATGAGGCGCTTAGGGACATGGTTTAGTGGGCATGGTGGTGTTGGGTTGACGGTTGGACTCGATGATCTTAGAGGTCTTTTCCAACCTTAATGATTCTATGGTTCTATGACATCCTGATGTTGTCTGGGTTTTCTGTGAAGTGCAGGATAATGAGGATTTGGGTGATGTGTTCCCAGCAGACTTGACTGCTGCAAGAAACCCCATAACGTACTCTACAGCTGTAGCGCTGTAGAGCAACCGCTGAGGTCTGTGTGCTGCAGCAAGCTTAAATGCAGACAGCCAAAGTCAGCTAGCCTGCGGGTCGCAACTCTGTGAAGCTTAATGGTGAAATCACTGCTCAACAGCAGAGAAATGGTTTTCTCATTAGTTTCAGATACAAGAAACCAAGATAACTAACAGCTCAGGAGCAGTGTAGGGCAGAAAGGGCCCAGAGAAGTAATAAATTTGACTATTTATAGCAAATATTCTCAGACCAGAGCAGAAATTAGTTCTTCAGAAGGCTTTTCACCTGACACTTGCATCTCTTCCATCTTGTGTGGCTTCAGTATTGTCCAGCTCTGGTAGAAATTAATATACCTAAGCAACAGCAGCAGTAAGAGATGTAGGAGTTGGTGTTCTCTGCCTGCGGTGCCATTTGAAATTCCCACGAAGAGCCCTTTTATTATTCAGGATTTGTGAAGGGAAAAGAATATGTGCTTTATTGAATGCTTGTTTGTAAATGGATTACTTTGTCCATAAGTGTTTGGAAGAATTATCCATCAGTGATTACCTCGTTCCCAAATATTAGTTCCAAAGCACATGAGACATTAGCAACTGTGTGTTTGACAAAATCTAGTACATTCAACACTAGGAAAAAAGAAATCAAAGTTATTTTTTTACGCAAAGAAATAATTCTGAAGGATAATTTAGCTTTGTTTTGGTTTTGGGTTTAGGGGTTTTTTTTTCATCATTTTACTGTGCTTTTTTATAGGTTTGGAGATACCACTTTGCAGGAAAACATTAACCAGGAGAACTTAGAACTTCTAAAAGAATATTACAAGCTGTTTACGGAAAAAATGCCTCCTGATTGTGAGTACAAAATAATGCAATACCCAAATGGCTTTGAAAAGGTTTGATAGGTGAAAGATTATAAGATAGTAATATTAGCGTGCAGCTCTTAGAGTTAGGCCTCAATCCCGTAACTTGTTCCGAAAAGTTAAACACTTTGTGCCTGTACACAGCCCTGCTGAAGTCAGTAGTGATTGCAGGCCCAAGGTCACAGCAGAAACTACAGGGAGAGTGAAACAGAGTAATGATGAACTAAACAGCTCTTTTAAATTATTAATATAATATGCTTTTTAATATTTCAAGTAGAGGACAGTCTGTACCTACTGTATTTGTACAGAAATACTCGGTTGGAATTTTCATCAGTTTCAGTCACTCCCTCCATTCTTATTTTGAATATGTATTAAGGTATGGCAAACCACTGAGAAATCTGCAGATGCAAATACAAGCAATGAGCCACATCATAATGTCACTGATATTCTAATGGAACCATGCTATTAATAGGCCCTATATTCCAATTTTATAGACATTTGGTATCATAAATATTACTGTTCTCTTACTTTGATTGTTGAAAGCAAACACTGAAAAGACCATTTGTATCAATCTAATCCTGTTAAAGTAGTCTTAATGCCGGAACTATATTCCCAAATGTTGCAGGTTTTACAGCCTGATTTTAAATAGCTTGGATTTAGGCCTCTGCTCCTTCCCCTTGGGTAAAGGGGGGTGAATCTTTTGAATCTAAAGATCTATCATCCTACAGGATGTGTGACTCCTCATGGTGGAAACTGCTGGTTAAAATCCCGTGCAAAGCTTCTGTTTTCTTACAGAACACCTTGTGTTGATTACTTTTGCAAATTATCCATTACATGTATGTACTTGTAGTTATATCTAATGTGTCACTGTATATGTTTATCTTTTATAACAGGATGATTTTCATTTGTTAATAATTTTGACAGAAATGAAAGCTCTGTTCCTAAACGGTGGGCAGCATGCCCATCCAGCCACTCACATCTCTAGTATTTCTAGGATTTCTACAGAGAAACTCATACAACAAGTTAGTAATTAACTTGGGGGAATCGTGCCAAGAGAGCATCCTGAAAAACTAACCTCATCTGGGGTTAGGTCTAAGGTAGATCTGCTACCTCATAAATGGATCTGATTACATAAAAGCAAAAATTTTCATGCAGATAGTATTGGCTGCTTTTCATTGAGAGAAACTAACCTTGTACTGCCTTCCCACAGAGGGATTATTAGTGAGCCACACAGTCTTCCTGGACTTCTTCCAGATTGTGCAGGCTTTTGAGAACTACGTTCGTTTAATTCATCGTGTCTTTTCTAGTTATTATTACCTTCTTGCTTTTTCTCTAGCTCTAAGATCTGAGTCTGTTCTTTGTCTAAATTTTTACACCTTCTCAGTAGCTCCCTGCCATTATACGGAACCATTCTTCTGGCTTCGAGGAATGTGCCTTTTAAACCAGTTCCCTGGAAAAAAGTAAAGCTCTCCAAGTTCAGCTGGGGGAGACCTTCAATTCCTCCCCTCTTCCCCCACCTCTGTGCTCAAGTTCTCAGGAAGATAAACCTCCATCCAAGCTGGCAGCAGCCTTGGTGTTGTAGCCAAGTGACAGCCGTTCAGTATTGATGGCTCCTTGATGGTATTGTCACACCTTTCCAGATAGTTTCCTCTAGTGCCAAATCTGTGCTACAAAATAAATGCAGGACCCGGTTCACAAAGCTTTTAGTTACAAATAGTGCTCATAAAGCCGGACAGAATTTGAGGACTCGCAGCCCTGATGGGCCAGGCTGTTGCATCCACCATCCTTAGGCAGACTCACTTGCCTGCTGCTTCATTCATATATTCCATTTCAAAGAATTCAATTTTCCGCTCCCATAAAGGTATTGCCACCTTTGCTATTAGTTTTTCTCTCATCTCTGTAATTCCCCTTGCCAATAATATTCTAGCTTTCTCTCTATTCCCAATTATTAAAAGTCTTCAGCTGCGTGTAACTCCATATGCCAAACACTGACTTCTATCTTCTTTTAGATGAATATGCACTCTGTCACTCTCCTGTTTCTTCATCTCTTTAATTCTCTAATAGGAAACTCTGAAAACAATAAATAACAATGTGCTCCCAGAAAGATTCCTATCAAAAATGCCAACCAAATGTAGTTCGGGTTTAGGCACCAAAATAGTACTGCTTTTATAGAGTACAGCTCATGATAGTAAGGTTACAAAAATGTATGACTGTTGTTTAGTAGTACATAATTAATTGAAAAGAACGGCTTAGAACTCAATTTAAACAGCTGAAAGCATAAAATCTGAGAAACCTATGTCATGAGTGATATTCGATGTTGCAACATCAGTGCTGCAAAGTCTTGTCCCATGTGAGAAGAGGGGTGCATGCGAGGTTTAGAAATCCTGCAAGCAAATTAAGATTTTCTTCCATAGCATCACAATGCATGTAGCAGTGCATGCATTTTCAACATAAAGTCTATGAGTCTGTTTTGTACTTCCAGCCTTCTCCCCCTTCTCCCTATAATCTATGAAAATGATTTGATGGTTTAATACTGCTTTGTGACACAAGGAATTTAAGCAATCGATCACATCCAGTCAAGATGCAGCTCATTTGGCAATATTATAAGTTGGGAGAATCTTGCTTTACCTATGGTGAACTCATCTCTCTGAGATGATGCATATTCTGCTGTGAACCAAAGGAAAACGGCTTTGAAACAATAAAATGTTTACCTAGTTATACATTCTCATAATCTGGAAGCATCTCTTTAGAGTATTTGTATGCTATGTGTTTTAAAGAAACAGATGCAGGATAAGTATAATAGTCTAGCAGGTTGTGATGTATTTTTATATGCTCTGCATTATCTCATTGTATGATCAGGAATTGTAATACACAGATAAAACAATCCTCATTAAGATTATTACAAAACTAGTTTCAATGTACTTTTTCTGCATTTTTTTTCTTTTTGGCAGCACAGTATGAGTAAGGCAACTTAGACATTTTTAGAATAGTTCTTTTTGAGTATATTTAAATTACTTCTTACTATGAATCATGGATAAGGGAAACTAGAGAATTCATTAGAGATAAAAGGTAAAAGCCTGTTGATAAGAGGAATCATTCCAGCTGTGATCAGGTTAGGAGAATGGATTTTGACCTGCGTTAGTAGTTGCCTCATTTTTACTCCTTGAATTAAACATAAATCTTAGGTTTGGGGTTTGGGTTGCGTTTTTTTTTCCCGCTGGATGGAACATCCTGCTTTTTCTTGTTGAAAAAAAAATATCAATTTATCAATTTGGTTTAATTTTGTTTCAACTGGTTCTGAGCCTTTCTTTGGTGATAACTATTATTAAATTTCTTTTTACTTCACTACCATAAGAAGAAATCATTTCAAAAAACAGACTTTGGTTGTTTCTACTGATTTTCAAAACTAATGAAGATAAAGGTGATATTAGAACAAAACCCTCCTATAGATACACACAAAACAGAAGAGCAAATTAAATTGTCTACTCTTGAATTCCCTCTAGACATCTCTGATTAATAAAACTTCAGCTCAGCTGCCATACCGTGGGCAAGTAGGTAAAATTTTGGATTTTAAGTAAACCTGGATTATTTTGTATTTCAAAATTAAACTCCCATTTAATTTCAGACTGAGAAATATCCTTTGTTAGATTGGGGGGGGGGTGGTATTTAGTGCTGTTTAGCCCTCCTGTTATGTTATATTAGGAACTAAAGCATCATTCCAGAGCAAAAATGAGATGTTCCATTTTGAAAACAAAAGCAAAATATTTTGGCCTCCCATCAAAGGAGATTTTAATACACTCAGTTATTTCTCTACTCATTTCCACTGAATGTCTATAATAGTTGATGAACAGAACTACAGCAGAGATTTGAATGTTTTCACCATCCATTTATAAGATAACAGTTGAAGAAACTTTAATTTTCTATGGTGAAAATCTTAGGGAGGACAACCCAATACTTAGAAAGAAATAAGGTTTGCTTATTCCTTAAATATTTAGCTGGTGCTTTCTATCCTGTGTTTCTGAATAAGGCTGTGAATAATAGACCTGTTCTTTAACATGGGCATTCTTTGGTCAGCACAACCCTATCATCAACCTTATCATAATAAGCAACCTTATCATCCTTTTTTTCCAGGTCTGCCACATTTTCAAGAACAAAATGATTTAAAGGGATTGCTAGAAAATCTCCATCAAAATATCCAGGCCAAAAAGAGAAAGAATGTAGAAATCATGTGGCTGGCTGCGACGGTAAGCCCTCTTGATTCAAATACGTTCACATGATGAACTAATTTTCACATGCCTGCTGATATTGTAAGTGCAATGGATTTTAAGGATATGATTGGAAAACTCAAGGATTAAAGTAAGTAGATATGCTGAAATGGCTCTCTAACATTTCCATTCTGATGGTCTGTCATCCCACTCAGGAATTTATCTCTTCTTCCTACACTTAAATTACAGATATTTGCTTTCTCTCACTTTCTTAACTGGTAGAACTGGCTAGAATTCAAAGCGAGAGGTGGTCTTGGTCACTTTGTTGTCCCCTACATCCTCCAGGCCCTTTTCCGCAGAGCGTCTCCTAGCCAGGCAGTCCGTGGCCTGTGCTGCTGCTTGGGGTTGTTTTGTCCCAGATGCAGGATTTTTCATTTACCTCAGTGAGTTGTGTAACAGGGTAAAAGAGGTTTGCTCTTTGTTTGGGGCATGTTTTTTCTTTAACTGAGTCTGGTTTTAGGCAGAGGAATCCCTTCATCCCCAGTATGGACAGAATCAATTCCTTGGATGACCACGCATAGCTATAAATATATCGCCTCATATGAGAGAGACAATACAGTATTCAGCTACAGTATCTAACTTTTTTTTTGTTTAAAATCATATCCATTCTTTGATAATATAAAATCTTCTTATTCAAAATATCTTCCTTTTATTGTTTAGTGTCCATAAGCCTTGAGGTATGATGCAGGACATGATTACTTGCTCTGGCTTTTGTATAGTATTGCTGCACTGAACTTTTGAATTTCTGTAATTACTTATGTTTTATAAATAAGTGTTTAATTGTAGCACTACAACTTTTAGTCAGTCACATTTTATGGGTTTTTTTAGCCAGTGTCACCATGACAGCCACTCCAAGGGCACTGATAGCAACACAAAATAAGCTAGATATGTAGACGTTCAGACACAGGGAGAACACAAAGAAAAATGTTTATCAAACAATGAATAATATTTACTTTGCTTTATTCACATAATTCCTTTTTGTTTCCCAATTCTAATTCTGTGGTTTTTGCACAGACATTAAAAAAAAAAAACCACAAACACAAAACCAAAACCAACAACAAAACAACTCTTAGATGTTTATAAAGAGCTCAAGCTTTTCAGGAATGTGAAATTCAACCAGGTAATTGTCTTAGATTTAGAAAAGTACTTTTGGTGTCTCTGCCCATTTATACAAGCAGAGACTTGAGTCTTTGGTATCTGCTGAAATTGAAGCAAGACCTTGTGTTTTGGGGAACTTTCAAATGCATATACCCTTCAAGGCAAATAAATATTTGATACAAAATATTAATAAAATTTTCCATGACTTTTCATTAACACCAGGAACAAGACAATATTAATTATGTCTTTGTATTAATAACACTGTTGTAATTTTTTATATTGCTAATAACATTTTGCCTTGTGGTTAATAAATATTATCACATGCTATTGCAGTATAAATTTGTTGTGAGTAAAAATATAAGCTTTTCTTGCAGTACCAGTTCTGCAATTACTATGAAATATTGCTTTTTAAAGAAGTAAAAGATAAATCGGTATAGGCTAGTGTAAAATGAGCTGCAAAGAATATGACAGAATTTACTTAATCTTTAGATATAGAAAGTTGTCTTCTACCATCTATTCAGGATTTCCTGAAAATAATTTCATGGGTAAAAAGCATTCTTTGGACACACAAACTGTTTCAGATTTTTCCTTCACTGTATTCTATTTCTCTTTCCATTACCTTACCGTAACCTTCTGAAATTAGTATTTCTGGACGCACTGATCTACACACTGATATACTCTGTTACATTTATTTATTGGAAAGGCACGATTCCCTGCCGTAAGGATATCACTTCGTTTTTGCAGTAGATCTATGAGATTCTACATGGATATGCCTATGTATCTGCATCTGCATGTAATGCCTGTTGTAATGGGACTGTGAGAATACATCTGCATTTTAAAAGCCAACTTTTGCAAATTGGTATCACAAACATTTCTTATTCTAAATATAATGGGACAGAAATTTAAATGTTATATCTTTTTATTTCCTAAGCTGCACCCTTCATCTTTTGTATTCTATCAGGAGAAATAATCAGAGTATTGATTTATCCTTGGTTTAGACTTCATGGTTTTATATGCTTTTTTATCATCCCCTCTTTAAGCTCTAATAAATGTTAAGTCTATTTCTCCACCTCTTATATCTTCAATATATTTAGGGAAGAAGTGAGCAAAATTGAGGATAAATTCAGGCTGGACACTAATCGTAAGCTGTGTGTTCTGATATGATGATATTACCATATATTTGGTATTGTCCCTTATTCGATTTCTAGAGCATCAGATCATTGCGTTTGCCCATTTTAATTATTTACTTTGCTTGACTGCTGCTGCTTAGTGAACTGAGTCATTCTGAGGATTTATCTGGGCCAGCCTATCAGGTTAACCTACATTTCTCCTTAAATCAGAATCTAAGGATTTTTCAATTTGTTTATTTAAGTTAACAGATTGTTTTCTATTTAATCCACTTTAAAATGATTGAGATATTTGTACTGAACTTCAATGCAAAATAAGCTTGTGGTTGTGGTCATTTTCTTGTTGTGCCTAGAATGCTTCTCAGTTCAAAGCTGACTCTTGCTAGCCAGCAATTTATGTGTGTGCTGTCAGCCCAGATTTGGGATTTAGTCCCCCCTCCCCACATCAGAGGCCATCACTCATCCAGAAAAATTACCTGTTTTTTTCTTACAACTCATTCACTTTGAATAGTCACAATGACTCACGGACTTCAAAAGAGACTAGTGTAAAGAGAATTAATCTCTTCAATTAAGCAGTTAACTTCTTTCACAGTGTTATCAGCCCTGCTTGATACTTTCCTTAAAAAAATTGCCTTATAGTACTTTATTTAAATCACAATGCAACTTTCCAAATTTTTGAACAGATTTAAGTTTTAAAATTTTGAATTATAGGAGGGAAGAAACACTCACAGGTTCTCCTTTACTAGACTGTACTTCTTAGGGTTCAAAGTTAGATTCAATTAATTAATTCCCTGGATTCGACTTTTGAGATCGCCCTTACCACAAAAATCTGAAACAGTTTGTGTGTCCAAAGAATGCTTTTTACCCATGAAATTATTTTCAGGAAATCCTGAATAGATGGTAGAAGACAACTTTCTATATCTAAAGATATATCGCCCTTAAGGTCACAAAGACCTTAAAGACTGTAAATATTGTCTGGGCCATTAATTTTAATAGAATTTCTGAGAATGCAATTAACGGATTAAAAAAAGTGCTTATTTGCCGAAGTGAGATTATGAAGATCATGTTCCAGTTTCATCCTGCAAGATCCCAAGTAAACACTTGATAGCCAAGCTGAGAAGTTGCTTAGGATGAGGCCTAACTGCAGTAATTTATTGCCTTGCCCTATTCGCATAACTATTTCCTTTGTTGATACTGTTAATAGCTATGATTTTCCAGGGATAGGAGCAAGCAAAGCTGGGCAGAGGGTATTACCTTTTCTTAGGACAAAGTACATCAGGGGAAAGGTAGACCCATACTTGGGCACACCAGCTCTCTTTCAAACTTTTCTTTTTCTAATAAAACACTGTTTGAACCCAAAGTATAAACTAATGGGCTGGTACAATGACAAATTGATTCTTAAGGTGAGAAATTATCTTTTAAAATACATCATGCTTCCCTTATCCCTTATGATTTTGTCAAAATGTACAGTGAAAGTAGACACTCCATGGCAGTCATTTGTGTTAAGTTTTAATTGTTCTGGGTCACGCATAGAACAGTTTATCTGTTGGAAAGAAAGACTATGTTTAAATTCAGTACATAGATATACGTACATACCCTCATGAGGGGTTAGTCCTCTACGTTCATAAGTCTGAGTTAAAAAAGACTTATCAAAGTTTTTCTTCATTTTTTCAACATTCATTAGGTGTTGAGACAATTAAGCTTTAATTGAATAGGGCAGTTGTCACAAAGTGAGGAAAAAAGGAAGCAATTTTTCCTTTTATAGTCTAGGCTAACACAAATACTTTTTATTTCAAGTTCAGGAAATGGGATGCAATGGTTTGGTAAGCTGTAGTACGTGTAGACGTTTTAGTGACTTGCTTAAAATGCATAGGACTAAGAATAGTAGATTTTTGTTGTTGTTGTTGTTGGGTCCACCATCAGTTTCTTGCTTCACTTGGGGGGCGTGGGTGTTGGGGTGGGCAGGGGAGAGACTTGATTGAGACTGCGGTACAAGATTGTGTGCAGCTTTCTCTTAAAATCAGTGAGGACTCCTTTTTCCTCAGTGGGCGGGTTATTTGTGGGCTTGTCCTGCTAATGAAGGCCCTGAAGATCTGCTTTTAAAATGTGTCATTTGGACAAATTGGAAATGGGCTATAGATCAGTAGCTATAATCTTTTGGTGCTATTTTTGTAGAGTTTTAATGCTGCAGATTTATAAACAAAAGATAAATTTACAATTCTTTTCAGCACAACATTTTCACCTTTTGTGGCACTGTGTCAGGCCAGCATGGGCATAATCCTTAGAATATGAAAATCCCCAAGGCAGCACTAATAACTGATTTAACTGCAAAGACACACGTCAGCAGCTGTATCATTCAGGTTCTCTGTATTCGTTGTCTGTGATTGCAAAGTTGTGGGAGTTTCACAGTCTGCCTAGCGTGTGGAGAACACAAGGTGTGAAAAGGGCAATCCTTTGACGTCTGCCTGTGTTTCAGATTTGCCGTAAGCTGAATGGAGTCCGTTTCACCTGTTGCAAAAGTGCCAAAGACCGGACGTCCATGTCAGTGACGCTGGAGCAGTGCTCCATCTTGAGGGACGAGCATCAGCTTCACAAAGACTTCTTTATTCGGGCGCTGGATTGTATGAGAAGGTATGTGGAGATTATTGCACGTCCCTTGCATTTTGAGCTAAGCCAGGAACTACGGTACACAAAGGTCTAAAGCCGGTTGCAAATGCGCGATAGGCCCCAGTCCTAATTTAGTAGAGAACTGACCAGCAGCATGCCAGCTGGTAAGTCACTTTTGCATGCAAGGTCTTTGCAACTGTGTGTTTTATCACTAATTAACAGTTTCTGAGATAGATGTGTGAAACCTTGTAAGTGTCACTTCACTGACTGTAGAATTTGACCAAGATAAATAGCAGTTATTTTAACAATTTCTTAGGCTATAAGGCTTGAAATTTTAACAACATTCTATGACCGTATTAAAAAAAAAGTTATTTTCTGTTTTAAGAATATTTTTAAAATGTTTATACACTCATTAAATCATTTGTTTAAAATTCAGACAAATATTGTGAAAGCAGAATAAGCATTTGTTACAGATGGCAATTCTTTTTAGCTCATCTTATTAAAAATAAAAGAAATACCCAAGTAGGTTTGGACTGATGGTGGTTGCCACTAATATCTGATAAAATCTTTACTGTGCTTAAAAAAAAAAAAGTTTCATTCTAAATTACAACTATGCAGAAATTGAGACTGATGTTATCAGGAATGTGTAATTAAAAGAAGTAAAAATTTCTGATTATCTGAATCTTTGATGAATACAAAAAAAACATTGAGCAAACAAGTTTTGATCATAAAATGAATCCAGAAGCTATATTCTCTAAAGAAACTTTCATCATTGGCTTTAATGAGTAGTGCATTGTATTTTCTATACGAGTTTAAAAAATGTATCCACAACATTCAAGTAATATATAACAAAGGTCACTGCAAAACTAATAGAAAATATTCTGGTCAGCCTGCAAAGAAGTAACTGGATCATACCTTGCACTTATGCGAAACACAAATTGTTTGTATGTTGGATTTGCAAAGATCATATTTAAGTAAACAATCATGTTTAACGTCTGTGATTGATAATTCTTGACCTTAATGTTTGGTATGGTCAGATTAGATGTTTAATGTCTAGATTAATACTGTAAGTTTACGTATTTAGGGTCCTTTTGTCTTTTGGCAAAGTTAGATATTCTAAAGAAAAAAGGTAATGTTTACAAAGAGTAATTGAGCAGTGGGCTGAGATGGCTTAGATGTAGAGTTGGTTTCCAAGGTGCTAGCGTAGTGTGATGTATTAAACTGAGGTATATTGTTTTGTCTGTATCATTAGCTTGCATAAATCCCTTAGTCTCTGCAGTATTTCAGTGAGTGAATGACTCGTGTGCAGTCTTTCATAACTACATGTTTTATCATTAATGAAAAATTTCTGAGTTTTCTGTGTTAAATTTCATTTGTGTTGGCATTTCAAATATGTTTTTTTCTTTTATGTCTCCAATAAATACAAAAGTGTGTAAGCTACAGTAAATTACCAGATACAGGCAAACTAATTATATAAAATCATTATTATGTTAGAAGACCGTTCAGTAATAGATTGGAAAAGTTTCACAGATATAAACCTGATGTAAAAAAAAAAAAGTCCTGATATTTATAAAAACTAACTTGTTAGTACAAAAGTGTAGTAGGTTTTTGTAGACTAAAATGTAAGTGACTTTGAGTGCTTTTATATCGCATAACTGATCTGAAAGCTAAGATTAACACATTAGTTATATTTGCAGATAACAATAAATTGGAGTCACAAAAGAAGGGCGAAAAGCCCAGAAAAACTTAAAAAAATAAATGAGCAGATGGGTGTATGAGGCTGACACCATCACAAAAATGTTAATTCTATGTTTTTGCTGTAGTTTTAAACAGAGAAAAGCTTTATCCTGATAATATCCTGTAAATGAATTTGAAATAGCCTTGAACTGAAATAGCTGCTATGTTGGATGGAAGGTAGTAATTTTGGCGTGGGCGGTAGGGTTGTCTGGGACTTAAAGCAAGGGCCTTGCAAGTAGTGGCAGTAGCATACGAAATAACCTGCACCATCAGGATAATAAATAAATAGATTTTTTGCCTATTTTAGTTTCTGTTTGTATAACACTGTTCACACAACTGGAGGTTAAAAAAAATGAGCAGCCAACTTACTTTTTTTTCTCATGAGCTGGTGAATTAAAGCCGAAAAATTCAGCGCAGAAGAATAAAAATGTCAAATGGGGATATGTAGTATCTCTATGGTAGTCCCATTGAGAGTTGGTCAGACAGTTTTCAGAGCTGTGTTTGGGCGCTTTTTTGGCATCTTTGGTGCTACAGACTGTCAGCAGGGACCGTGTCTCCCTCCCCGCTGCCCCCCTGTTGCTGGAGGTGCTGATGGGGCAGCGCTGGAGGCGAGGCGGGGGCTTTCCTCCCTCTCCGCCGCTGACCAGGTAGCGTGGCAAGGACCCTCCAGCTGGGCACTCTTCTTGCAGGCAGGTGGAGAAGGGTGAACTGCAGAGAAAGGCAACTTGAGAGAGCAAACTGGGAAGGAAAGAACAGCCAGGCGAAAGAGCGGGGGGGGAAAAAGCCGTGGGAAGAGATACAATGGCGTTTCAACTAAGTCTCTTGTATTTTACTTGAGGGAAGTTTGGCAGCTACGTTTTTGAGGTTTGTTTGAGTGAGGTCAACAGACTTGTTTGGTAGTCGTTGTGATACTTGCCCTTTTATCCTTTCTTTTTATTTGATTACTATTGCAGAGTGTTACTTGAAAGATTATGCTGTGCATTTCTAAGCTTTTCATTGACTACTTATAGAAGCTTTTAGAATGATTTTCACGTCTAAAAGAACCTATTTTGTTTTAAGAGCAGACAGAGAAAAACTGTTTGCCATTTAATTTATAATTTTAGCAATTTTCCCCTGATGAATCTTCTCTAGATCACTTAGTTAAACTCTGTCAATCAAATCCCTTTATGCTGATTGCCACAAATCACTTTTAAGCCTTTCAAAAGACCAAGTAGACAAGAAAAATTCAATTTTAACATCCAGAATCCTAACAGACTGGATTGATCTTTGAAAGGCTTCTTTCAAGAGTTAGCAGTAGGAGATAGAGAGTACTGTGAAACGAAGTGAGTTGTAAAAGTAAATGGCGATTCAAAAGCAGCCTTTATTGGAAATGCCATAATTTTGAGATATGAAAATTATAAAGGTGCCTGTGTAGCTGTAAAGCTTTTTCTTTTCCTGCCAGTGCTGACACAGCTTTGGCGGCTGTTGTAAAAGGGAAGCATGTGCTTATGGGTTCATGCTTTCTTGCCACCAGAAGTTTGGAGATGCTGGGCGTCTGCGTGCTGCTGCTTTTCAGCTTCTCTGATGTCCCTAGAATTTTGAGCAAACCAGAGGCAAGTTCAGGTATTTCACATTGCGCAGCGCAGTTTTGGAAAATACTGCCAGTAGCTGTTATTTAATGACTTAGTTTGTAAGTAGAATCAGTGTCTTGTAGTGATAAACTATATGATGTTTATCGCTTCTTTATAAAAAAAAAAAAAAAAAAAAGCTGTGCAAAACCCCTTCCATTAGTTGTCCCTTTAGCTTATGAAAAATGTGGTGAAACGGTGATAGGAATTCCAGCTTTATCACTTACAATATATAATATATGGTTTTGTCTTCTGAGTGCAACTCTAGCCATTATCATGCTGCAATTGATGTGTATGTGAAGCAGCTATTCCATAAATAATAAACTACATCTTATAGTTTCCTTGGTATATGTATGTGACTTCCATTGATCTTAGTGACATGCAAAGTGCAGAATGAGGAAAATCCATATATTATCCCCTCTGTATCAAGTGCTTGCAATTCACATCATACTAAAATCGTATTTATAATGTTGCTGCCACTTTCAAATCATCATTTTTTGCAATCAGCAATATTCTTTTCTTATTTTTCCATTCACCAATATGTGACTATTTCCTGTCATTCAATGTTAACTATATTCCAAGAGACAGTAGAGAGACAAAACTGATTTACCTGAGTTCATTGCAGTATCTGTCACACGGTTCTACTTTTCATCTTCAGAGCTGGCCACTGCTTAAGGGAGGTTGGACCCTGGTAGGCAGCACACTATGAAGGAGTTCTGTAAAACTCATTTATTTTTTTTCTTTTTTTTTTTCCCCTTTCTTTTCTGAACCTATTTAATTTTAATGTTTCAGTGACAGGGCCCCTTTTGGAGGCCTTGGGTAGTAAGTAACCTCAGAATCTCCTGGTTTTTGAGCATGTTTCCAATAAAACCTCAACAGTAGAAACAAGCAAAAGCAATGACAAATCCGCTGTCTACAGTGAAGCCTCCAGGCTTTCAGCCTTATCATCATTCTTGGCAGGGCGCAATACCTGTCAGATATTTCAGACATTGAATACGAAATTTGACTCAATGTAGGACACGCTGTTTTCACCTGAAACAGCAGTCAAGGATATTTCAGATTGTTTTAGATAAATTGCCTATCAAAAATCTAATTGAAGCACAAATACAAAGAGTGAATGGTCTGGGCAACAAGGCATGGGCTTTTGATGGCCCAATTATGAAGCAAATAGCTCCTTTTTAAAGAGCTGTTTGAGGGCATCTTTTCTTAAAGATCATCTTAAAGATGAGCAAGTTGAGAAGGAGAGATAGCTGTAATAGCTCCTTAATCGGGGACTTTCAGATGTTCTGGGCGGAATCCATAGGTCCAGGCTGAGATAGACCTTGGCCATGGACGGGCCTATACCGAACAACACAGTGTTGTGATTGCTCCATGGAGCAGGAGCAAAGGGACAGGACGAGAGACTGGGATCCACGTGCAGATCTTCCTCTACCTTTCTCCCATCTCCCAGCTTTCACCCTGCCCCTGCGAGCTTCTGGCCATAGATGCAGCGCATGAGGAGTCACACAGAAGAGGAAGCACATGTTCTCCTCTTACCTTTTCTTTTTCCAGCCCATCTGACCTTCCTCATCTTTTTTTCCTGAGAGTATTAGTGCAGCGTAAGCAAAACTTAAAAGGGAGATCCTGGCTTCCAACGTGGATTTTTCCATCATTCTATGGTTCTTTAGAAACTTCACATTT